GTTTCTTTCAAAGAGGATGTCCACAGCCTCCCTGATCTTTCATTTCCAGTCAAATGTGTGGCTGGTAGTGGCGACGTGTTCAGCTATCTCCGATCTTTCCGTATTAATTTTCCTGCATAGTAGCTGGTGCTCTTTGATCCTTGTGCTGATTCTCGTTCCTATGTCTTCACTGTTTTTTGTTTACAGTCTTTGAAATTTATTCTGCAAACTCCGGAGCATTCCATTTCGTTGAATTCTTCATGCTATGTGGGCAATCTGATGAAGGGAGTTGTCCTTTCCTTCAGGATTCTATGATTGCCCTCACCGCACTGCTGAAGATCTTAGAAAAATAAAATGACGTTCTAGAGACAGAGTCTCTAACCCGATTAAGCAGCCTGCAAACGGCATCTAGTGCAGATGGTGTAGATGAGTACGCTTCACTAAAAAAACACTTGTAGCGACACGTTTAGAAGGGACATTAGAGGAAATGAGAGCACATAATTGTGTGAATAAGTGAATGGACCATATAAAGTGGGGTTGAGAGAAAGAGATGAGTCGCTAGAATGTAGAACAAAGGATAGGGGCGAGGAGTGATACCACAAAGATTGAATATAAAATTTGTCAACTGGATTGCCTTCACTTGTCACTTCGATAAGCTGTAACTCTGTGCTTACGATAGCGCTTTATTCACGAAAAAGGTAATGTCGTCGATTGGCAAAACGATAAATGACTTTGAGTTTTTTGTTTAAAAAATCCCGAAATGGATCACAGCGAAACACCGACCTTCAGGACATATATCATATACAGTTAAAGAATAGTCCAAATGAAGCCGTGTGTACTTATCAATAAGAAAAATAGCAAAAGTTAAAAAGATCGCACATTATAGATTTCCTAGCAAAATTTAAGGTTTGCTAAATTTTCAAAGTCAGTAATTAACTTTAACATCCACTACTTTCGTTGATGTGAAGACTCTCATTTCGTATGGAAGTACATGATGAAACGATTCGTAGGTCAAACACACCAAAAGACGTCGGCTGATTCAAGCTGTACTGCAGCCATTTGGCATTAATACGACGCTCAGGTTGATGCAGTCAGCCGACGTCTTCTCATGAGATTGACCCACGAATCTCTCCATCATGTACTTCCATATAAAATGAAAGTCTTCACATCAATCGCATCTCACGAGATTCTTCGAAATCCGCAAGTTCTTCGCATATAACACTACTTTTAACCAAAATATTTCAATACATTAATTGCGATCAAATAGCACACAATCAAACAAACCTGATCTTTAATTATCAGATTCACAATAACTTAGTCGAAATGGGCAATTTAAAACTTAAACTAAAGGAGAAACAGGTAAGTCTGGAAAACTCAGAAATGGAAGCAAATGATAGTTTGTATAGAATGAAATTAACAAAAATAACTCAGCATGCGGCAAAATATAAATACTGCGAACAAACAAAAGCCACACCATCTTGTTCTTCATACCTTCGATAAATACTTTTAATTGAAATATTTTAAAAGTAGAGAATTTAAAATAATGAAGGCATAAGCTTGCCCTCATAATGACTAGATCAAATTTGATCGCCTTTTTTACTTTTAGTTATACAAACTTCAGATCAATCGAGTCTATATTACTTTTGCCTCTGCGAGACCAGGTAGGTCATCTTCCGCGGCTAAGGCACAGCCCAAGTTAACCAATGTAGTCAGAAGAAGCTGACCTGACAGAGCAGATCTCGTTGCATCACCATCCACCTTTAATAACAGGCTCTCTGACAATCCGCAGTAAGCGGATAGTAATTCAGAGCTGGTCCAATTGACTTTCGCCAAAGGACGCACCAGAAAGGCGGCAGTTGCGGCTTTGGAAAGGCTGTCGTCAGAGCAAATGGATAAACTCTAAATGCAAAAGAGAAAACTGGTGAATAAAATGTTTTCGGCATGAATAGATTTCGAGATCATCAAAAATTCTCGAATAAGGACTTGATCACCCTAGATGAACTATATTCCATAAGTCTATCTCATCCGGGGTTGACTAAAATTAGCCCTCAATCTAGGTCTCATCAGCATCTATAACGCTATTCGATAATGGATCATGAGTATCATGGTAGCGTTACCACTTTACTGCACAGCCAGGAGTCACAGGGTGAATTTAATCCTGTGATGATAAGGTGTGCTGAGACCCAGTCGAGGTCGAAACAGAATAATTCTGCATGACCATAAATTAATGGTGTGAGCTCTAGTATATGCTAGTTTCCTATCATATCATCCAGACTACATATATATATATATATATATATATATATATATCCCGGTTAGAATAAACAAAGTTCTAGAACATTCGACCTGAGATCAAGAATAAAAAACTTAATCTAATACTTGATGAAACCTAATAAGTAAAACTGGACTTAATCTTTTCCCTCACCTCACAGATATCCCATAAACAGGTGTGAGTGGGCAACCAGTAATTCCAGAGAGTAGATAGCTGGTTAGGGGGTAAATAAACATCCTCAGATGCAAAAAGCAATCCGGGCAAGCTAATCTGTTGAGTTTCAGAAGCAGTCTCAGTTGTAGGCAGGTTCTTGGCTGAGTTGACGATCCAGCGGATAAAGGCATCTAAGAGATTGCTGGCAAATCGATGATCACCAGATTTAGAGGGCGAGCTGGCTATATTATTAAGAGATTAAATGTGTTAGGGAGCAAAAACAAGAAAAAAATTGAGAAAAATTATTCTGCAAAACTAAAAAAAATTTTACGAGTGCATTTTTTACTGGGAATCTAGTTGATTTCAAGAAAAGTCTTGGTTTGATCAGCTTTTCGTAACTTTGTCTTCCTTGATAATCAATAGCGTAAAAAGCATCATCGAGGGTATGAAGAGCAAGATAGTGTGGCCTTTTGTGTGGCCGCAGTCTCCTATCATTGTAATGAAGTTGTTTAACCTTGTTTTCGCAACTTCGTCATATTGGTAGGAAGATTTAGAGGAACGCACTTAGTCCGGAGTCCATTGTATGCATGACAATTTCCAAAGTCGGACAATGGACGTGGTACATCCCCAGATGTTTCGCCGGTATCGTCAGTGAGTCTTGCCATTCTTAACACCACACTACAACTCGTCAAAGAGACAAGTAAAGCCAATCGCTTGATTAATTGTCTGCCGAACAATCGTGGTATTTCTCCTGCCGCCCTGGGCTAATCACCAATCCTATATCCTCGTATCCCGCCTTTACTATAAACATTTTTAATTGCTTATATAAATGTGGTATAGTGTGCTCTTTTAAGCGGCTTTCATGGGAGTGTGGAGAGTTCTCATGAAAGCCGCTCAAAAGGGCACACCATACCACATTTAAATAACCAGGTAAAAAATGATGACAGTGAAGGCGTGAAACGAGGATATAGGATTAGTGATTATGTCAGGGCGGAAGGATAGATATTATGATTGTTGAGCAGACAATTGGTCAAAAGAATGGCTTCACTTGTCACTTTGACGAGTTGTAATGTGGTGATAAGAATGGCAAAACTCACTGAAGACGCCGACGAAACATCTGGGAATGTACTACGTCCACAGTCAAACCCTGGCAATAATCAGGCACACAATGGACTCCAGACTAGGTGCGTCCATTTAACTATTGCTTTCAATACAACTAAGTTGAGAAAACAAGGTCAAACTAGGTCTAAAAAGCGTTATAATTATCTTAGATATGGAGACAAAGATTCCGTGCCTATTCGAAGTCTTCTTTAGCTTTATAGCGTTGGTTTGACCTCGTTTTCGCAACTCATTTAGCCTATCATGAGAGACTTTGTGGAAAGTACTTGGTCATGCGCCCTCTGCCAAATATTCGTGATTTCCAGCATTGGTCTATTGGCTGGGTACATTCAAAAATGTTTCGCCGGCATCGTCAATGAGAGGCGCCATCGTAAGAATAAAGTTACAACTTATTAAAGTGACAAGTGAAGGCAAGTCCACGGTCTGATGCTGGGAATTACGATAATTACTATGGCAGATGACTTCAAACAAGGTGCGCTCTACTGAATCGTTCTGACAAGACCCAGTTGTGAAAACGAGGTCAAATCACTTCCCAAAAAGAAACTTTGAGAGATAGATAAAGCTTGGGTTAGTGTCCATATGCTTTCAAGTGGAAAACAACAAATGATAATTCAGATAGTTAGAAAAGAGCAAAGCAATGAGAACAGATAAGTCGAGTCACTTTTTTGTAGGTGGCTTAACACCCTCTATATCATAAAGCATATCAACCAAGCACTAATAATTCGATTTTCATTCCAAACATTTAACATATCCCTTGGTGATTTCAATGAGTTCTTTTATATTACATTTGCCAGGAATCACATCCTACCTAGAAAGCCGATGAGTTTGAGACTAATAAACACGAACAAAACAATACATGTGGTGGAAAGTACTATAGACAGGATAAATACGAATAAATACCTTCAATTGCTGCTGCCAGAACAGAGGAAACCTGATCAAACACAGCATGCAGCACTACCAAGTTAAGCGGCTGCTTAAAAGGTCTCTCACGACGCTTGTAATTGATGTAAGGAGTCGTGATTTTTGCACAAGCTTTAGGTGAGCTTGATCTGTAGTGTCTCCGGCTGGTCAGGCCACGCCGAAATGAGGTAAAAAATCGGCTGACGGGAGAATATACAGTGCGTGGTGAGGACACACGATTGGATGAAGTGGAGGCAGAGATGAATTGGGATTTGATACCAGCGAAACCTCCTGGTGGAAAGCGTGCCATGAGCCAGGGACTAAAGACCGGCAATACAACATCGAGGATGGAATTTGCAGCTTAAAATAGACAAAAGATCCAAAATGGCATAACAAAAGGGAAAAGATTGATACAGGTTAAGATAACGGGGGAGAGCGAATTGTGTAAGTTAAATATAATGAATTTAAAACTGCGAAAGTTCAGTTTAAAATTATATTTTTTAGGAGATTAATTGTGGTATTTTTTTGGTATAGTAAGAATATACACAAAGATCTTTGCCTACCCGAACTCCAATTTAGCTGCTCCTCAAGAACGTTCCGGCCCAACTTCATGGCGGCTTGGCCAGCCAGCAGGCCCAAAGCACTCAAGGCATATTCACATGTGGTCAACAAATCTGAAGGAGAGGGCAGCTCTCTGGCTATTGCGCCGACATGAAGAGTCGAAGCAGGTCGAGAGGGATTCTTTGTAGACGGAGTCTGTGAAAATGTCCAGGATGAGGTCATCAAGTGGAATAGAGGGGCCGGCCAGCCATTAGGAAATGAGTGTGCTCTGGAATTGGGCGACTGAGTCAGTGGAAAACAGAACCGAGACAAGATGCCAGAAGATTTGGAGGACATACTTTTGTTGGTTTCTGGTCGACCTGTGTTGAGGCACTCGTATAATTGCCGAAGAATCAGTAATAGCTAAATAAGCAAAGCGACATAAAAATGAGAATGCGATTGGCCAGCTGAGATAATGAGTAATTCTAGTTCCCCACCGATAAGGCTATGACAAAGTAATGTTCAGACAAAATTTTGGTGAACAGTTAAGTGTCATGATGCACTAATTAAGGAATAGAGCCATTTAATTAGTTAACTTAAGTTAAGTATTGGGTTATTTGCTTGTGTCATTCCTGTTTTAGATTTTTTATTTCAATATCGGGAAACTTTTTATGACATAAACTGTTCACTGCAGGCAGAAAGTAAAAACTAAGAGTTCACAAAATCATAAAATAAGATCGATTTTGAAGATTAAAGTCTTCGAGCCCCACCTGATCTGTGGAAAGAGAACTCTCGCCGAAGTCAGAAATATCTTGTTCAATGATCCTGCAAATGATTTTCCACAATTCAGCCGTGGCCTTTTTTTCAGCTGGAAGAAGAATAAAAACAGTAGATAACATTGTGAATGAACAGAAATGAAAAATTCTAACCTTACAACAAAGACAATTGACACAAACGAAAAGTCGAGGAAATGAGGTAATAAAATTCGCAAAAGTAACAAACTTTTTAAAAACTGCTAAGGAAAAACTCGATCATGCTGATTAATTACAATTCTACTGAGCTAAATTATTTGTTTAAAGCAAGTAAAGGAATGAAGCTTCGAATAATTAAGCCAAATGCCACCTATCTTAGAATAAAATTGTAATACACGAATACGAGCAAATATCTAAGCGAAGATGAACAGAAAGAGAATTGTAGTGAGGAGTAATTTGTGCTCACGAGACTATATTTGGCGATGACTTTACAGTAGATGACTAATTTAATCAGCGCTTTATTTAAAAGTGAGGGGCAAATTAATAGAACACAGAAGTTACTTTTTATCGAAGTAGCGCATTAAAATGTATATAAAACTAAAGAAAAAATAAAACTTAAGAAAATTTCTTCGCCCGCATTCACCCAAGATTACTTTATAAATGCAATTAGCTTTTTGCTAGCATCGTTGAAGATTTGCACTCAGCAAGTCGTATGCTATAGTCTTTGAGCCATGAAGTAGCTCCAACGTGTTAGCTCCATTGAGAGAAGGATAAACAAAAAATCCCAACCCATCTTAGAAGACAATATGGTAATGGATAATGTACAACGAGAGATTAACCTGGTGTCTAGCTAATTCAGATATAAAAGAAATAAACCCAACTTTAAAAAGAGGATTTAGGCCCAATTTATATATTTTAATAGGGAGATCATCATTTCGTATAAAAGTGCATGAATAAACCCAGCTACTCTTCGTATATAAATTATATAGTCTAACGTATGAAGTTCTTAGACATAGCTCCGAATTCTGACTGTCTTGTCCAGTGAAGAATGAGAGTTGAGTATATATGTAATTGAGTAGAAATTTGTATCAAGGAATGCGATTAGTAAACTTGACTACCTAGGAAATGCTTCGAAACCCAATTTTTTAGTATGTTTATCAATTTTGATATCTAAAAGTTGTCAAAAAAGCTAAAGCAGTCATTATGTAACGAGTAAATTTCGTTTGCTCACCAAGCTTAATCAATCTTATTTTGGATAAAATTTGCTCAGAACTTTTATGCTAATAATTACTAAATCTTCAAAGATACTACATGCTCCGAAGCATGTATAACAAAAAATTAACAGGGTGAAAATTCTGGAGATAACAAAGTGAATGGAAGCGGGAGAAAGCAAATCAACGCATAGATGCATAAAATAAATCCTTACGATAGTTAATGCAGGTAGAGTATCCTAACTAATAGGCAAGTAACTGAAATAACAGGGCGGAAGGGAAAATCTAGTGTCGTTCTACTCACTCTATCATGTCTCAAGATTTCAGATTGTCATCAAGAAGGCCTTAAAGGGCCCTAAATTAGTTAGATGAATAATTTCAAAATAAAACTAACATCTTTATTTAATTTAATTACACAATAAATCCAAATAAATGATCTAAGTGGCATTTATTAAGGGGAAAAAAGACTAAAGACAAAAATATACTTATAAATAAGGAATTAATAGCTCACTTGTAAGTAGACGTTGCATGGCTGCAGCGAGGACATGTGGAAAATTGTGGCGAAGTACTATGTCCAAATGTTCTAAGAAAACCTAAAAAAAGGCAAAGAAAAATGCGAGCAAAGATAAATCTTTTAATAAAAATGCTTATTTAAGCATTATCTATTAATAAGATGTATCCTGAGCTAAAATTCGGATTCGCCTGACGTGGATGGCATCCAAGAGGTTTAGCCTTGCTTCTAATTCAATTCACAATACTACAAATACATGTATGATAAAGATAAGATAAATATCGTTTATAAGTAAGTTTTAAAGACTACCGTGTAAAGATTAAATTAGCAAAAATTTATTGGTAATTGTGGCATACGGCTTAATTTATGTAGTTTAATGAAAGATCATGAATAATAAGTTAACGAAATAACATTAATAACATTAATTAACATTAACAACCCACAAACGTTGTGGTTCAACATTGAACCTAATCAAAGCCAGCAGTACCACAACATTTGTAGGTTG